GAAAAATCTTACCAAATACACAAAAGCAGCTGCTAGAATTAGTGAATTCAGCAAAGTCACAGGTTAAGGGGGCAATCTAAAAAGTTAATTGAATTTATATATACTAGTAACAAACAATTTTATATTAATACTATATATGTATATAGGAACAGTTATTAAAGTAAATTTTACTCTAAAGAAATAAGAATAGACACAAAAATCTAATGAGGGTATCTGGTTGGGCATGGTGGCTCCTGCCTGTAATCCCAGCACTTTGGGAAGCTGAAGTGGGAGGATTGCTTGAGCCCAGGAGTTCAAGACCAGCCTGGACAATATGGTGAGACTTCATCTCTATAAAAAAGAAAAAAGAAAAAAGAGAAAAAACACACACAGAAAAAAAAAATAACGAGGGTGTCTTATTTCTTTAAAGTAACACTTACAAAATACAAAATATTAAAAATGAAATCTTTATAGGAAAATTTAACAAAATGTGTGCAAAACCTGTGCACTGAAAACTACAAAATATTGATGAGATAAATTAATGAAGACTAAATAAATGTAGAAGATTCAATATTGCTAACATACTATTTATCCCCAAATTAAGATATATGTTCAATACAATCTCAGTCAAAATCCTGACAGACATTTTCCGGTAGAAATTGACAAGCTGGGTCTAAAATCTGTATGGATTATATATAAAAGACTTAAAATCAGCAAATTATTTTGAAAAAGAGGAAAAATGTTGGAGGACTTACATTACCTGATTCCAGCATTCACTATGGAGCTACAACAATCCAGGTACTGTGGTGTTCAAATAAGAACAGACATGGCAGGCGCGGTGGCTCACGCCTGTAATCCCAGCACTTTGGGAGGCCAAGGTGGGCGGATCGCAAGGTCAGGAGTTCAAGAACAGCCTGACCAACATGGTGAAACCCCGTCTCTACTAAAAATACAAAAAATCAGCTGGGCATGGTGGCATGTGCTTGTAATCCCAGCTACTCAGGAGGCTAAGACAGGAGAATCACTTGAACCTGGGAGGTGGAGGTTGCAGTGAGCCGAGATTGTGCCACTGCACTTCAGCCTGAGCAAGAAGAGTGAGATTTCATTAAAAAAAAAAAAAAAAAAAAAGATACATAAGTCAATGGGTCAGATCTGAGAGCCTAGAAATCAATCCACATTTTCCAGTCAACTGATTTTGAATAAAAGCGCCAAGGTAAGTTAATGATAATGGTGATTATTTTCAAATTTTGGTACTGGAAAAAGTGGATATCCATGTGCAAAAATAAAAACCTTGACTATTACATCACACCACATGCAAACATTAATTAAAGTGGATCACAGATGTATACTTAAGTGCTACCACCACAAAACTTCTAAAAGACAAGAAAATATTTGTAATCTTAGTTTGACAATTATTTCCTAAATAGTACACAAAAACCACAAAAGAAAAAAGTAATGATTGGATATCATCAAAATGGAAAAGTTTTGCTTTTTACAAGATGTTAATAAGAAGATGAGAAGGTAGGTCAAAGCCTCGGAGAGAATACTTGAGAAACATTTATCTGATAAGTAACTTATGTTCAGAACATGTAAGGAATTCTTATTACTCAATTACAAGAAGACAATCCAACTTTTTAAAAATTGGCAAAGGATTAGAATAGACTCGTTACTAGAGATACATGAAAGGCTCAACACTATTAGTCGTCAAGGTAATGCGAATCAAAACACAATGGGATACCACTGAAAGCCCACCAGAACGGTCAGCATGATTAAGACTGACAACAGCGTGGGCTGGTGAGGGCATGGGGCGTCAGGAGCTTCACACGTTAGTCTGGGAATGCAAAATGGTGCAGCCATGCTGGAAAACTGTCTGTCAGTTTCTTCAAAGTTAAATATTAACTTTTGATACAATCCAGCAATACTACTTCTGAGGATGTACCCAAAAGAAGTGAAAACAGATGTTCACAGAAGAGTTGTCCTTGAATGACAATAGCAGCATTATTCATATCAATCTCAGATGGAAAAACACCAAATGTCCATCATTTCATGGATGAGTAAACAAATGTTGATGGAATTCTATTCAGCGACAAAAACAAGCGATCCATTGATTCATGCAGCAACATGGAAAAGTCTCCAAGCGTTTTGCCCGCTGAAGGAAGCCAGACATGAAAGACTCTGCGCTTCATGAGTCTATGTCTGTGAAATTCTATACTAAGAGGGCAGGTCATAATTGCCTGTGCCCAGAATGGAGGGAGAGGATGCCTGCAAAGGGAACTGGGGGAGAGTTGGGACAGTGCTGGGTGACCTCGGCAGTAGTGACTCATAGCAAGGTGTACAGTTGTCTAAATTCACTGAGTTGTACACTTAACATGAATGATTGCTATTGCACATAAATTGTATCTCAATATAAAAGGCACACAAAGTAATACCTGAAGATAGGTATACTCATGAGCCAGCAATTTCGCTAAGTACATACCACAAAAATGCACGTCCAAGTACATCAGGGCACACAAATAAGAAGGCTCATAATTTATTCATAATATTCCCAAGCTAGAAATAAATGTTCATCAGCAGCAAAGTGGATAATAAACTGTGTCGTGTTCATGCAGTGAATCAGTAACCAACGATGAATCAGCCACCGTTGCGTGCAACACGGAAACATTTTGCAGACACAAAGTTGAATGAAAGAAGCCAGATATGATTCCATTAATGTAAAGTTCACAAACCAGGCAAAATCAAACTAGAACGGTTAGGGATGCATGTCAAGGTGATAAAAGTGTAAAAAAAATGCAGGAAAGTGATTTCACATGAACTCAGCAGAAGCTCTGGTGGGAGGGAGGCTGTGTGGGTTGTGTACTCAAATTCTGCGATATTCTTGTTTTTTGGGTGGGAAGTATACAGATATTCATTTATAAGTCATTAGGCTATTACATGTATACTTTATGATGCTTCTGTGGATCCATTACATTTCACAAGACAAAAGCTGTTAAGCCAATAATTAAGGTGCATTATTGTGTCTCCAAGAACTCACTGGCTGTGGTTTTCCGAGTAAGTTCTTTCAATAAATCACCAGCTGTGCAGAGTTACAGAGATGCACACACTGTGGCTGTGTCAGTGGAAGATCAATAGTGATTGTTCTCGGAGACGAGAGGGCGAAGATTAATAATTTAAAATGTTGGGTATTTAGGTCGTTAGAAAAATAAAGGATAAAAGTACTAAAAAGATGCCAGGCATCGTGGCTCATGCCTGTAATCCCAGCACTTTGGGAGGCTAAGGTGGGCAGATCATCTGAAGTCAGGAGTTTGAGACCAGCCTGGCCAACATGTGAAACCCCGTCGCTACTAAAAAACACAAAAATTAGCTAGGTGTGGTGGCAGGTGCCTGTAGTCCCAGCTACTCAGGAGGCTGAAGCAGGAGAATCACTTGAACCCGGGAGGTGGAGGTTGCAGTGAGGTGAGATCACACCACTGCACTCCAGCCTGGGGGACAGCAAGACTCCATCTCAAAAAAACCAAAGTACTAAAAAGTGAAGTGATAAACAAATTAGTAAAAATAATTAGAATCAGCCAAATTCAATTAATATTGACTTCAATATTAATTGAAGTCAATATTCTAGGAGATTGCATTTTAAATGCTCATAAATATGTAAATATTAAAATAAAGTTTACAGTTGATAGGAAAAATATTCTTGGATTAACACAATTGCTGTTGTAATCAGAAAAAACCTCACGAGTGTTTTTGACACCGTCTCTGGGCTTCGGTTCCTTTTCGTTAGGACAGGACGTGGCCCTAGCACAGAGGCGGCTGCAGGGACTACATGCCCTGTGTGAACATGCTGGCACATGATGGGCTCTGTGATTTTTAAAATAACTCCTCTTTCCCCAACAACCTATCAAAGTCATTTCTCATGAGTGTGGTGCTTCTTTCTGAGGTGGGTGCCCCTCTCTGAGCCCTGAGCCCTGGGCCCCGAAAATCACCAGACAAGCCTGCAGCTTCCTGAGGTCCCCTCATGGAGTGGGGTCAAGGGTCAGGAGGAGGTTTCACAGGTGGGTCTGGGGGACGGGATTCTGCCAGAAAGCAATGGAATCAGCGTTCCACATGTGCCTGCGTCTGCTTCCAATTCCACTTCTGATTTTAAGTGTCAGAACCCAGCTCAAGTGCAGAGGCCAACCCTAAGAGAGAAGGGCTGTTGAAGGGTCCCTGTGAGCTCAACAGACTGCACAAGGAAGCTCTGCATGACTGGGCCACAGACTCCCCTCCCCTCTCTGCCAACCCAATGTCACTCAGGAACATCACTGACCATCTGCAGAGCGTGAGGAAGTGATGGGAGATGGCAGGGGAGATGAGCAGGCAAAGCTGTGATTGCACCGTGATGGGCAGCCACCCACCTGCTCCCCAGCGGCAGGGCTCCTTCCAGACACACCAGGCAGGGCCTCATCCCTTATCTGCAGGGTAAAGCCTGAACTTCCCAGCAAGGCTCAAAGACCCTTCTGGGTGGGCACCTGCTGCCTGATGGTATTGCCCTCACTCTGCCCCTCCTACCTGGGGACTTTTCTGTGCGCCAGCTCCAGGGGGTCCCCTCCAGGGCCTCTGCTCTTGATGTTCCTGCTGCTGGGGCATTCGCCCGCCCTCACAGAGTCCCTTCCCCACCCTCAACACGGAGACGGGGGGCCGGTCTGCCTGCCTGGTGGCCTGCCTCACCTGGCCCAAGCAGCTCTAAGCAGAACCAGCGGACTTTTCTGCCCTGTCACAAGTTGAGCCACCCACCCACTCATTTGTTCATGCATTCATTCCACACAGCTGGGGCAAAGCCAGATCCTGATGGGGTGGGGGGGGGAGTAGATGGACAGGACTGCAGTGCGCTGAGCTCCCAGTCTGGCAGGGACACACAACTTTGGACCACAGGGAAGTCCTGGCTGTTATGGAGGACCATCTACCCTGGCAGGGGAGGGCAGGGAGGCGGTGCACCAGTCACTGGCTCATGCCTGAGAAGCCTCTGTGAGGACAGTGGGGCCGCCTACCTTAGCAAGCTGCAAGGACTGAATGAAAAGCTGTGTGGAGCATTCGGAGCGGCACCTGGAGGGCAGTGGGATCCCACAAAACTGAGTTACTCCTGCGTGGGGTGAAGCGAGCACCTATGAAATGTAAAGGCAGACACCGGGTGGGGATGTGGAGAGGTGACACACCCAGGCTGCAGCAGCCGCAGGTGCAAAGGGCCCGTGGCAGGAACAGGCGTCAGTGCCATGGAGGCGTCTTGTGATGAGCTGGGGAGGCATCGAGGCGTCTAGAGGCCAGACTGGGGAGAAATTCTGCAGGACTGACCTGCCTCCTATGGGACTTCTGATGGCAGAACCCCCTCCAAGCTATTTCTCCTTGCCCTCAGAGGGCACAGCCCCATCTTTCCACCCCCAACCTTCTGGGAGGGGGCAGGATGAGGCCTCATCTGTTCACTTCCTCCTTCAAAGCCTAATCATTGTGGCTGCAGCAGCCTTCCCGCATTGAGAATGGAGAGGCCGCTCCGCCCTCACCGGAGGTGGCTGCAAACCTCGTTTCCCTGGAAACTGAAATAATCAGTGGAAGTCAGCTCATGGTAAGTCTGCTGGCGCGCGTGGGTGCCACGATTATTATACAAGCCGATTTACACACTGTCCTTTGAAAACCTATGCACCATCGATGCAAAGGAAGGGTCGCTATTCCCACTGCTCTGGCGAGTCATCGTGCAGGGACGCAGGACCGTTCGCGAGGTTCTAAAATCTGCATTCTCTGCTAAAAATACAGTGAAACATGCTCGTCCCCCTCGCAGCTATCGCCGTTGAAGTAAATCCCACGCACATGTCCAGGGAGCGCAGGAAGGGCCTTCGCATAGATTCACATGGGCAGATGGCTTCCGTGAAGGTGGGCGAGGGGCCTGCGCCCGCACTGCCTGAAACCTGTGGGTGCCGCTTCCTTCAGACAGGGCCTCTGGGGGCTCTGCCCAGGTCCACCGGGCACCACGGGACACGCCGTGCCCTTCAGGGCCTTGAAGCTGTGCACTCTGGGCGCAGGCTCCACAGGCCAGAACTTGCTAAGGTTGGTGACGGGGACCGAGGTGCGTTCTCAGCGCGAACCTGCACCTCCCCCGCGCGCGGAGCGCTTTCCCTGGCTGCAGCCACCGAATCCGGCGCAAAGTTATTTAACGCCGCAATTAGCCAGGAGGGTGAGTCATCGGCTCCCCAGCCTCTCTGCCGCCGCAGCAGAAACGAACTGGAAGGGACCAGGAGTGCAGGCCCAGCTGCTGGGCCGAGGCCCTTCCGGAGACGCCCCCACCCCCCAACCAAGGGGCCGAGGCGAGCTCCTCTCGGGAAGAGGCAGGAGGGCCCAGAGAGGCCGGGGAGGTGACCTTCTCCCACCCCACCCACCAGCCACCCCGGCCTTCCCCTCACCCACCTTGAATCGTCAGGGTAGGAATGAGGCGGAGGAATTTGCCGCCCTCGTCCCCCTCACTCAGGCCGTGAACCGCCTTCTGATGAATTAATTCACGTGCACCCGCGTCTGGGGAAAATTCCTGTCTGATCCAGAAGCGCTTTGTAGACTAAAACCAAACGAGACTCATCCACGGTTCTGCCTAAGACGTCACCTCCAGCTTGGTTCAAATGGCTAGTCCTAAAAGTCAGCGACCTTGCTCATCCCGAACCGCGTGCACACGCACACGGCCCACCCGCACACACGCGCGCGCACACGCACATGCACACACCACACACGAAACACACTACAGACCGCACACGAGCCCAGAAGCGACACACCGCACGCGGGCACACGTCAGCACTTCCCAGAGACCCTGACCGTCCCCCTCCCTTGGACAACCCCCTCCCTGGCTCCCTCCTCCCTCTCCCTCCCCGGGATCCTTCCTCCCCCCCAGCACCCGGCTCCCTCCCCCATGCCCTGAACTCTTCCCCCCTCCCCCTGCCCCGCCAAACACCCGGTCCCCTCCCCCTTCTCCCGGGGCTCCTTCTCCCCCAAGCACCCACAGGCACCCAGGCCCTCCTCCCCTTTCCTCCCTGGGCTCCTTCCGCCCCCAGCACCCGGGCTTTTCTCCCCCTCCCTCCTCTGGGTTCCTTCCCCCCCAGCACCTGTCCCCCTCCCCCCGGCTCCTTCCCCCCCAGCACCCGCCCCCTCCCCCTCCCTTCCCGGGCTCCTTCCCCTCACCCCAGCACCCGAGCTCTCCTCCTTTCCTCCCTCCTCTCCCAGGCTCCCCCTTTCCCCTTCTTTAACCCAGACTCTCCCGCATACCCACTCCCCCATAGCATAAGAGCTCCTCTCTCCCTGCTCCCTGCACCCCCATAACTTCCACAGGCCGCTGACAGGCGGGTGGGTGGGAAGTGCGGCCCAGACCCAGCGGATAGGGGAGACAGGGGAGCGCAGACGCAAGGGCGCCGAGCGGTGGGGAGCGCCGGGGGTGGGGCCCAGGGGGTCCGAGGGGGGAGGACAGAGAGGGAGAGAGAGAGGGGGAGAGAGAGAGAGAGAGAGAGAGAAAGCTGGGAAATGAGGGCGGCGTTCCCGCAGCGGCCCGCGCCGGAGAGGGGCGCGGATAGGGAAGGAGGGCGGAGAGACGCGGCTTGGGGCCCCGGTACCGGAGGAGGTGGCGGAGGGGCGTCCCGGGGGCGGCGGGGGCTGCCGGGGGC